CATACTGTGGTAGCTCCGTGCTTCACACAGGATTGAGCACAGACAGGCTGTGTAATTAATTGACGCACTTTTTTCTGTGAAAATCCTGTGCTTTTTTCTGACAGTGTAGAATCTATACGCCAAAAGATGTCTCAAAAGTATACCCCAAATGTTGCTCGGGATCCTGTAGCATACGCCTTTTGGCGTATACATTTGAGACACCCCCAAATTACAGTGTACCTGCGGTACATTGAAACTACAAAACATCAAGGGTTCCGTTGGTAACCCTGTGTCAGCGGCCAACGTGTTTTGGCATTTTTAGCTTTAAACTGAAACATTATAATTTGATTTTAAACTAATACGCGTCGCAGAGCCGCGTCCCTCCCGCGGCGCTGGTGCGGGACTGGCTGCTGCACCTGCCCCGGCTGCTGCTGGCGCTGGTGCGGGGCGCGCTGCTGCAGCGCGAGGACTGTCTGTTCCTCAACGTGTTCGTCCCGGAGCCCGAGCCCCCCGGCGCTCAGCCCAACAGCACCGCGGTGTTGGTCTGGCTGCACGGCGGCGCCTTCCTCATCGGCGACGGCTCTGCCGAGGAGTACGGCCCCGAGCTCTTCCTGGAGCAGGGCGTCATCGTCGTCACGCTCAACTACCGCCTCGGCGTGCTCGGTAAAGGTCCCCTCTCCGCGCGGCCGTCTGCGCACCTCTCCGCTTACCTCGCATCGCACACACTCCTCCCAGGGTTCTTGTACGGCGGCCCAGACTCGGGGGCGCCAGGCAACATGGGGCTCCGCGACCAGGCCCTCGCGCTGCGGTGGGTGCACGACAACGTGCTGGCATTCGGCGGCGACCCGGCCAGGGTGACGCTCTGGGGGGAAAGCGCGGGGGCGGTGAGCGCACACCTGCACACCATGGCGCCCGGACAAGGTGCAAGCCCGGCACCCGGCGCCGTCCACCGTGGAGTGGTCTGCGGCGTCGCAGAGACGGCTCACTGAGGATCCCGGATCCCACGCAGACCTGTTCCAAAGGCTGATCCTGAGCAGCGGCGTGGCTGGCCTGCCGTGGGCCATCCAGGAACACCCCGCCGACGCGCTGCGGGCCCTGGCCGTCGCGCTCGGCTGGCCGCGCGGCCGGCAACCCGACCACCCCGCCGACCTCGTGCGCTTCTTGAAGAAGGTGCCAGTCGAGCACATCGTGGCTGCCGGCAACGAGATCAAGTCCATCACGGTACACGCGGGGCACACATACTGCTGACCTTGGGCTGGGGCGGAGGGGAAAGGGGGAGGGCACCCGGGCGGGGGGGCCTTGAACCTGCCACCCACTACTGGTCCCACTGGTTTAGTTCCCAAGCTGTGGCTCCAAACAAGCTCACACCTCGGATTGACAGAACTTCGTCGGCAGCGGAATGCAGCCTTTGCGGTGGGCACCCGTGGTGGAAAACCCCTCGAATGATCCTGGACAGAGCCGCTTCCTCGCTCGGGACCCACTGAGCATTCTTGAGGAGGGGACTTTTAAGGTACTTGACGCCGAATTCTGTTACTCGTCTCTGCCCACGCGACCCCTGCCCGCACCTACCTCACTCCACCCCTCACGCCCAGAGCGTGCCGACTGTGCTCGGGGTCAACTCCCGCGAGGGTCTGCTGTGGCTCACGGGGAAGGCCCCCAGGACGGTGGCGCGGCTGTTGCAGCGCTTCGACCTCGACTTCAGCCTCGTCGTCCGCGACCTGCCCTTCGTGTGGCGCCGGGGCCGCGAGCCAAGCGCCGCCCAGGTCCATCGCGCCGCCCTCCTCATTCGCGGCTTCTTCTTCGGCAGGCAGAGGATCGCCATGAGGACGCTGCCGACGTTCCTCGATGTAAGTGATGGAGCACTCGGGCTGCCTAAGCTGACTCCCTTCCCTTCCCTCCCATCATGCTCCCCTTCCTCCAGCTTTACTCCGACATCATTTTCAACATCGGCGTGCGCGAGGCCACCACCCTCCACTTGCGTTGGTCCTCTACTCCCCTCTACCTGTACCGCTTTTCCTTCGATGGCCGGCTGGGATTCCTCAAACGATTGATTGGTACATCTACCCCAGGTAAATTAACATTTTCGGGAGAGATTTTTAAGAATTACTGCCCTCCTAATTATAGAGCTACAATCATGTTGTTTTCTCTGTCTCCCCCCCCCCCCC